AGGAAATAAGTGACTACAAGCAAATTTGAACGTTGAAGCTAAAGAGAACCGAAATACCAAGACCCAAGCTCAACAGCTGAGAGTGAGGAGAATTCCAAGCTCAAACGGAACTAACGTGGGAACAGCAGACTGGGTGATTATGTGGATGATGAGGGCGGCGACACAACCTCAGGTTTGCCAGAGTCGCCGAAGACATCCACGAGAACTGGGAGTCATCCCAGTGCAAAATTTCACTTGCTGAATGATTTTTTAAACTTCCTGAAGTAAAGTTTGATTCATGTTCAACACGCCGGGAAACCTAACTCCTCCTGCCCTCATGCGATATCACAACAAAATTTCATCCCCTCTGACCGTGACAAAGTGTTTTATCAACGCAGGTTGAAAGGCACCAAAATCTTTCATCATCATGACCTCTGCCCAGGGTACGACTAAAGCCCACCTGCCAAGCAAATGGACCAGTTTAAAGAAGCCAGGAAACAAGGAAACAATTGACGTTCAGTCACAAAACCTTTGTTAGAGGGATCGGGCAAGTGGACACCTGCCCACTCACCCACTCACAAATGTTTCCCCAAGCCCCTCGAGAACCCTCCCACTGAAGGCTGGGAACCAGCCAATTTGTCGCTATCACCTGAGGAGTTCCCCTGCCGGCCAACTCCAAGTACTACACGTCTACCCTTGTGGTGGAAACTAGCAACCCTCAAAAACCGAGTGACAAGCTGCACTCCCACTCCATCTGGGAATCACCCCTCAACAGTACCGGTCATCTTAATTCTGCTGGTTGTAGCAATTCTAGAGTCCGTTACCCCCTCCCCGCCCCTACCATTATAACTTCTCTATATCTTCCTTTTTTCACACCTCAGTGACCCTGAGTTTTTACTGTTCCTTAATCAGAATCGATGTTCCCACAATGATGATGCTAGTGTCATTCCCTTAGATGTGCTAGATCGTATGTGTTACACCCCTTACCCATGGTGTCGACACAATACTCCCTCATCGATCCTGATGCCTTCTATTAACACCTCACTGGGTTACACCCAACCCCAACTGTAACTATTACTTTCCTGACTCTCCTGAGTTTAGTTGCCCTAGTCTTCACAACCTTATTCCTTCTCCTTAATTAGCCATAACATCAGCAGTATTCTATTTCTAGATACCTTTTTTAGATCAGTGTATATCTTCTATTGCCCACAAATCTCTGATGTACAGGTACTTGGGTTCTGGTGGAGACCAAACTTACTAACGAATTGAACATTTGTATAACATTCAATTATACTAGACACTCAGTGTCAACACGTCACGACACAGTGGTGTCTCCCTATATGCTGATATCAAGTATAACACTTCTGTAAGAGATGGATTTAATTGTTCAGAGTGAGTACATGGCGAGGCTTACCAATTACGTAACGACACACGAAATATCCTAGTAGGGATTATCTACAAGACCTCACACTAATGTAAGAAATTTTCTTGATAAATTTCGAGCTTATCTCTACGATAAGTTCAGAGAGGAAAGTCTCCCCATCACAGGAGATTTCAATCTTGATTATTCAAATCAGAAAACCGACACCTCATATTAGACCTTCTTGCTACCTGTTATTCTAAACTCCTTTCTTCAACACTATAACCAAACCCACTTTAGAGTAACTGCCACCTCACTGTGATAATAGATCATATCTGGACTAGTTAAATACTCCTAACAACCTAGGCAAGTGGAATTATTTATAATAATATCTCAGATCACTTCCAAAGCTTTTTGCCATGTATAAATGTTTCACAAGACCTGAAAGGTCTAGTAGATCTCAATACAATACAGAGAATACTGCGCCGACAACCTGCTCGTTTTTGAAGACAACCCACGAATGCTAACTGGGATCTTGTTCTTATGTCTCCGAGAGAACCCTAATGAACAGCAGTAACTTCTTCGCATCTTCATTGCTTGCTTTGATAATGCTTCCTCTCAAGACTAAGTCATTGAAAAATGTATCCATTTCCAAACCCTATATTTCACAAGCAAAAAATTAGATAATGATAGCGAAAAAAACACAAACTCTAAAGACCCATAACTTTCGGTGATCTTACCAAAGTATCAGAAATAGAGTAACATTGAAGCAGTTAGAAATGCCAGACGAAGCTATTATGCAAATAAGCTCCAGTCAGCATCAGGAAGACAGTAAGAAAAACCTGAATGTCATAAATTCCATCTAGAACAGGAACACTCAGCATTCGGCCCCCACTCAGCTTTTTATGATAAAAGATTCAGTTGTAACGAACCCTCCCTTATTGCCAACCAATTTCAATGAATATTTTATTAATAAAGGCAAAAATATCTTGCACAGAGACCTCGATCACTATGAGGAATTCTAGGAGCTACTCAAAACAAAACAGCAAAATGAGCTGTTCTTATCCCCTCAATATAAGAAAGATGAGTTAATGGCCATCATAAAATGTCCAAAACATTTGGCAGCAGCAGGCGAAGACAATATACCAATGAGCATCATTAAGAAAGTGGCCCACTTATTACTACTGTTTTCTCTCCACATTTAAAATTCCTTCACTAGTGGTTCTTTCCTGATAAAAATGAAATTATAAAAGGTCACATCACATATACAAAATCTGGAGACAAGGGTCTCTTCCAAGAATTGGTCGCCCCATATCAGTCCTCCCAGCCTTGAGTAAGATACTGGAGAAGCGAAGTGTAGTAGACTAAATTCTTTCTGCAATGCCACACATCTTTTACAGACACCCAGTTTGGATGAGACTAGAAGGTCGACTGAGAGTGCTCTCGCCATCTTTACTAATGACATCTTAAATTCCTTTTGATAACAGTCAGTCTACAGTCGGTATATATTTTTGACCTCCAAAGACTTCTGATTCTGTCGACCATACTATCTCTCCTTTCAGCTTGAACATTATCAGTGTAGGGCTTGTCCCACAATTGGTTTACTCTCATATTCGTCCAACAGGATGCAGTATGTATGCTATAATAATCACCAATCTGACTCGCCAATCTTGCATGGCGTCCCCCAAGGTTTCCATTCTCGGCCAGGTACTGTTGTTGTTGTACATAAACGACATAGTTCACGCCAGCACACCTATAAAATACAATTTATTTGCAGACGATATAATCTCTATGCCAGCAACTCAGACTTCTATTCCTTGCTGAAACCAGAACACTGGAATTGATCTCAAGTCAGGACCTGGGGTAATACATAATAAACTGACCTTAAACCTTGAGAAAACCTACACGATCTTTCTCACAGAAGGAAAAACTTACCTCAAACTTCTGATTCCTGTACCTGGGTAATACAGTCTCAAACGCGAACAAATACTAAATTCTCGAGTTATTGTTGATGAAACTTAACTGGAGAAACCACATACAAGCCATCATCTAACAGTAAAGTCAATAAACAGTGCGGTATCACACCTCTCGACAGTCACTCACTCGCAGCAATGAAAGAAATCTATCATGATCTTGTTTACTAAGACCTGATACACTGTCACACACACTATGGGGGAGCCTCTGGCTTCTTCAAAAACACACAACCCTGGTTACTACACAAAAGAGAGTTGTATGGACAATGACCTACTTGAAAAACAGATCTCAATAAACGAAAATTTATATATTGAAATAAAATTCGAAGATATTAACACCTACTGCTGTGCCCTTTGTTTACAAATCTATCAATCACTTGGTTTGACAATAATTATTTCCAGTTCCAAAATAATCAGAGATACAACTTAAGGCACCCAGACACAAGACTACCTCTATGTGCTCCTCTCGGTCCCAGACCTCCATAAAATATTACGGGTGAAGGTGGGGAATAACTACCCCCACCATCCGAGCAAAGACTACGCTCCTTCCTTTAAATCATCATCTCTAGAAAATATCTATTGTCTACATTAATATTTCTTGTAATAGCTACTATATTTACAGTACCTGCTTTTATTGAACCATCAAAACCGTTTTATCGGAAATTATCATATAAATAGAAAAGAAATTACCATTGCAATAAATATATTTGCCAACTAGACATTATCCTGACAGCTCTGTCCTCTTGTTCAACCTTGTTACTGTACAGCCCATGTTGTACTGCTCCCTCATTATATTTCAATTCCACTGTAATTTATGTATATACTAATTATACTTATAATATAAATAAAAAATAATAATACAAAATAAAATAAATAAATATTGAAGTGATAACCGTTGTAACATTAAGAGATGTTCTTATTACCACCATGCTATTGTACTATTACAGATGTTACTAAATGTTACATAATACTTCCCTGAGATAAATGTACAGTATATATCAGGTGCTTGCGGGAGAGCTCAGGTTCTCAACTCTGTATCTGTGTTTTTCTGGCTAAATAAACTGTTTCAATTCAATTCAATTTAAAACATAACCTAACCTTATCATTCCGAATCAAACTTAACCTAACCAACACACACACACACACACAGTATATAATGACCTATTACATTTGGTTGTTTAAAGGAGTAATGAACTTGTTCACTCAAGTTGTTCAGGAGACAGAATCAACTTGTTCACTCTAATTCCCTTCACTCTTATACTCTTCGGTGGTCGATTTCACACCCTTGAATCATAACTAATTTATTCCTGTACATAAAATACAACTATTTATCCAGTAAATAAGAGAATTCTCCTTTATTTACATATCATTTCGTCTGATAATGATTTCTTCTGTTTTATGTAATGTAAAATAAGTGATACATTGCAACTGGCGCCTTGTTTTTATAGTTTATTTACACATTATATTATTAAAAAATCATCATATAGAGAATAAAAAATTAAATAAACTGTTAGCAAAATATGTATCAACTAGCAAAGTGTATATTCTGATATGTGTTATAGTTACATATACTGTAGCTGTGTGAAAACAAGAAAGTGGAGTTTGTCTCGGCTCCTGTTTCACCGCTACTCTAACTTGGCGGGGTATATAAGACGCGTGGCGGGTCCTCTCCATCACACTTCACTCTCTGTGTCTCTCCAGGATGGTTGTCACAAAGGTAAGTAAGCTGTGTCTATAACTTCTCATTAGTTCAGCTTGTATATTAAAGGTACAGGTATACAAACAATGGTAAACAGTCGGTTAATATGTACAAAAAAAAGTAGCCAGAGAAAACCATAAGTAATTAATGGCCACTGGGGTCCATTTTGGGGTGAGGATTGACCATTAACCAAAAAAAAAAATAGACAAATTGACAATATTGAATAAAGTAGAACAAAATAATGAATATATCAACATTAGTTTTAAAGATAAGTGAACGTATTCTAACCAAACTTGACCTATTCTAACCTAACCTAACTTAATCTAACTTAACCTAACTTAATCTAACCTCATCTAACCTGGCAATTTAAGCTCCTTGAAGTTAGTGTTCATGATCATAAGTATAAGTTAGTGTTGTTGATCATAAGTATAAGTTAGTGTTGTTGATCATAAGTATAAGTTAGCGTTGTTGATCATAAGTATAAGTTAGTGTTGTTGATCATAAGTATAAGTTAGTGTTGTTGATCATAAGTATAAGTTAGTGTTGTTGATCATAAGTATAAGTTAGTGTTGTTGATCATTAGTATAAGTTAGTGTTGTTGATCATAAGTATAAGTTAGTGTTGTTGATCATAAGTATAAGTTAGTGTTGTTGATCATAAGTATAAGTTAGTGTTGTTGATCATAAGTATAAGTTAGTGTTGTTGATCATTAGTATAAGTTAGTGTTGTTGATCATAAGTATAAGTTAGTGTTGTTGATCATAAGTATAAGTTAGTGTTGTTGATCATAAGTATAAGTTAGTGTTGTTGATCATAAGTATAAGTTAGTGTTGTTGATCATTCACCTTAACATAGGATGAACCTGACACCTAGAGAGGTTAAGAAAGTTGGTGACTATTTACTCTCCCTTAGGTACTAGTGGTGGCTCTGGCGGTGGCCTTCGCGGCAGCTCTCCCGACCTCTTTCCCAGTTCCCATCTCTGACCGGCAGTCGTCCCAGCTCTCAGGCAACACACAGCTTGAAAACAAAGATAAAATCGACCCCAACCTGTCCTTCAGCTATAGCTACGAAGTGAAAGCTGATGAGACAGGCGATGAGAAGTCCCATCAAGTAGCTCTTGAAAATGGTGTGGTGGTTGGTTCCTATTCCTTGGTTCAGCCTGACGGAGTTCTCAGGACTGTCAACTATCGCGCTGATGATGTAACCGGCTTCCAAGCTGAGGTCCAGTTCCATGAGGGTTATGCTCATCCAATTGTAACCTCTTCGGGCTCCTCAGCTTCGTCTAACTTTGGTGCTTCGTCTGGCTCAGCTTCGAAGTTTGATGCAAGTTCACAGGGAACTACATTTAGCTCTGGATCCTCAAGTAGTAGTTCACGTGGTTCAGGATTTAGTTCTTCCACTTCAGGTTTGGCTTCAAGTTCCTCAGGCACTACAGGTTCGGCATCAGCTGGATCAAGATTTGTCTCCTCAGGATCATCAACTCTTAGCAGTGCCTCAGGTTCATCCTCGTCCTTGAATAGTGGATCATCGACGACTCAAGGTGCTTCATTTTCCAGTGGTGCCTCGGGATCTCAGAATCAAAGAACTTCCTTCTCCAGCGGTGCTTCAGGGGCTCAAAGCCAAAGAACTTCCTTCGGTAGCGGTGCTTCAGGAGCTCAAAGCCAAAGAACTTCCTTCGGTAGCGGCGCTTCAGGAGCTCAAAGCCAAAGAACTTCCTTCGGTAGCGGTGCTTCAAGAACTCAAAGCCAAAGAAATTCCTTCTCTAGCGGCGCTTCAGGAGCTCAAAGCCAAAGAAATTCCTTTTCTAGCGGCGCTTCTGAGGCTCAAAACCAAAGAACTTCCTTCGCTAGCGGTGCTTCAGGATCTCAAAGCCAAAGAACTTCCTTCGGTAGCGGTGCTTCAGGAGCTCAAAGCCAAATAAATTCTTTCTCTAGCGGCGCTTCAGAGGCTCAAAGCCAAAGAACTTCCTTCGCTAGCGGTGCTTCAGGAGCTCAAAGCCAAAGAACTTCTTTCACTAGCGGTGCTTCAGGAGCTCAAAGTCAAAAAACTTCCTTCTCTAGCGGCGCTTCAGGAGCTCAAAGCCAAAGAAATTCCTTCGCTAGCGGTGCTTCAGGAGCTCAAAGCCAAAAAACTTCCTTCTCTAGCGGCGCTTCAGGAGCTCAAAGCCAAAGAAATTCCTTCGCTAGCGGTGCTTCAGGAGCTCAAAGCCAAAGAACTTCCTTCACTAGCGGCGCTTCAGGAGCTCAAAGCCAAAGAAATTCCTTCGCTAGCGGTGCTTCAGGAGCTCAAAGCCAAAGAACTTCATTCACTAGCGGTGCTTCAGGAGCTCAAAGCCAAAAAACTTCCTTCTCTAGCGGCGCTTCAGGAGCTCAAAGCCAAAGAACTTCCTTCGCTAGCGGTGCTTCAGGAGCCCAAAGTCAGAAAACTTCCTTCTCTAGCGGCGCTTCAGGAGCTCAAGGTCAAAGAACTTCCTTCGCTAGCGGTGCTTCAGGAGCTCAAAGTTCCTCTATTTCTGGCAGCTCTACAGCCTCTGTATCCAGTGGGTCATCTGATTCATTCTCCAGGGATAGTTCTGGGTCTCAAAGTGGCTCCTCTTCAGGGGCATCTTTCCAGTCAGGATTAAGTGAGTCTGCTTCCCGAAGTGGCTTTCAGGCTGGTTCATCCGGTGCTACCCAGACTGGATTTTCAGGAGCGACATTCAATGTTGCATCAGGTAGCTCCGCAAGCCAATCCAGCTCGAACAGCGCCTCACAGTCTCTCTCCTCCAGTAAATTTCAGTCTGGTTCCTCTGGGTCCACTTTGGGTTCGTCATCACAGAGTTCTATCCAAGGAGGATCGTCGGGATCAAGATTTCAAAGTACATCCAATTCAGCTCAGAACAAAGTGGGTTCAGCCTTCAAGACTGGCGCTGTGACCACACTTAACAAACAAGGATCATCTGCAAGTTCTTTTGGAACCGCGAGCTTCCAACACGCCGAAGAAGGAAACGCATTCACTGGCGGCCTCAGCAGTGACATCATCTCTGGTTCACTTTTCATCACCAATCAAAACCTCGATGGAATTGATGCCGTGGAACTTGCTCAGAATGGGTTCACAGGAAAGCCTTTTGCATATAAGCTCGTGCAAGTCCCCATTAGACAGTAGTTGTCAGTGTAGGTAAATACCCGTCCATTGTTCAGCCTCCTGTCCCTTACCACACCCCAATATTATAGTTTTGTTTTTGTTTTTTTGGATATATCAAATCATTTTAATAATGTGTGATGATGACATATGAGAATTGCTCAGGCATAATTTGTTTTCTCTATGATACTATAAAAATATCTTAATTGATTGGAAATAAATTTAATGTAATTGTATCGAAGATTTTATAACTGAAATTAAAATGTCAATAATTACAACGTATTTGTTTAACCTCTAGTTTTATCTCTCATAATTTTTATTCGTTGTTGAAATAATGTAATTACTAACCTTGTTACTCGCTTAATCAAATACCTTCCTTGTTGAAGCGCAGTAATAACATATAACAACAACATCCAATCATAGCGGGGTTTTGTAAACTCACCATACAAAATCTTGATATTTTCTTTTGAATACAAAACTCTTGTTAAATGAAAGATAAAAATAGTGACATTGTACCAGCGGACCTGTTTCTTCCACCACAATAACACCGAAGGATAAACGGAATGTATACACTGGAAGCGTACTTACATCCAACGAAACCATTCATCAAATTGTGAAGAGTGAATCAGGAATAAAAATAACACAAGCTTATAACAATCAACACCTATTATAACAATAGCACAGACGATAACCCTGCATGGTCCTGTGACTCTTCCTCTGTTCAGAGGTATCACCCAATATTCACTCATAACATTGATTACTTTTAACAGTGCCAAAACATATGATTCATAATGGATGGAATAAGATTACAGTCACTTTCCTGATCTCACAGCTGCATGTTATAGTACCCTGGAGGGTACCTCAAAACGTAGAAAAGAAATTGTAGATCTTACTCTCCCAAAAAAGTATCGGCCCCTTTTCTCATCGATACAATGTGTCATAATGGAGGAATATTTCCGATCACTAATTGTGAGTCTTGCATTATGTTGGTATGCCTGCCTTCCTAGGATCTGTGAGGTTTCCAGTTATTATTTCTGGCATTTGTTGTAATTATGGATAATCACCTTGCTCAATCATTAGTAGAATTATATGATATTAATGTAGCGAAAATACATCAACGGCAGTCAAATAGTCGGTGTTTTCTGCTGGAAATCCCTGACCAACACTAGTACCCGAGACTCAATGGAAACAGCTTGCACCGACAGACATCGTCTCGTAGTGAGATAATCCTCCGTGGACAGCACGAATCATGAGATGATACGTTTAATCATAATTGTTACCTCATCAGTTGAGGTAGAAATAATATCGAAATGCAGTAAATCATATTACCATTGTCATTGGATATGGCATCATAATACACCTGTAATTACTATATTTGCAAATGAATGTAATATCGGATCATAGTGTTTCATATTTCGTTCGAAGCGATTCCATTGTAACCTCGGTTAATGAAAACATAGTATCGTTATATTCATATTTGGGGGTTGAAATAGTTTGGTATTTGGTGTCACATTTCATCCTATTTCGTTACATTATGTAGAGAATAGGTGGTATACTGCAGATATCCTGGTGATCATCAGGTGCACGAAGGAAGAACGAAAAGTGCAACTCAATCAGAAATACCAACTGAACCGACACTGCTGTGCAAGTGTTATTGTGTTAATTTCCAAATACACATCAGGCTCAGGGGGGCCGATACTTTTTGGGGAGACTGTACATCAGTGCCGGATTTAGACCTGTGGAGGCCCATGGGCAGCCTCTTTGTGGAGGCCCCCCTCATTATATCTACCCAAGAGGGTGGGGTGGCGAGTGAAGCGAGCCTAAACATCTGGGAGTTCCGGGGGACGCTCTAAGCCCCCCGGGAAAATTTTGAAATTTTAACACTTCTTTGGAGAATTTTGAAGCCATATGCAGTTATATTGAGGAAATTAGAACATTGAGAAATTTTTAATTAACTGTATATTCCCAACACACACACACACACACACACACACACACACACACACAAAAGTGAGACATGACTGGAGTCATTCATGTGGTTTCAAGTCGACCAGCCCTGATATAGCTACTACCGCACATGTCAAAAATTTTCAAGAGATTTCACAGAAAAGAATATATTATTAGCTATTACAGAGAGATGATTCTTTGCATTATTAATCAGATAAACCTCTACTCAAATAATGGTTCTGTCCAAGAATGCATGTATAGGCTTCTTTAAGTCCAAGGTCAGATAGATTCAGAATAAGTATTAACTCAACTATAAATAAAATTGAAGTTTTGCATCCAATAGTAAAACAAATAAACAATTTAATGAATTTGATAAAATTATAACAAAAGTATGAACATGTTGGAAAAAACAAGAATTTTAATAAAAATAACTGCCATCGACCATGGATCATGGATATATTGAACACAAACATTGATCAATTGCAAAATAGAAAATATACAGACCAGGCACTTAACGTGACCTGGCCGCTGCAAAGTTTTTGATCAACTTTTCGAAGTCAATCTCTCTGAGGATGTCATATTCGATACTCATCAAAGCCAGGTGGCTGAGCCTATCATGACACATTGTAGTACGAAGTCTGTTTTTAATAAACTTCATTTTACTGAAAGAACGTTCTCCAGAACAATTTGTGACCATGAGCACCAAGTACATCAGTAGTATTATTTCAACATTTGGAAATGTATCTACAACTTTCTTGTCTATCAACAGCTTGTAAAGGTAATGTGCCCTTCCTTTCTCATCATCTTCGTCTTCAAGAAATTGAGTGAAGAATGCTGTACACTGCACAAGTTCAACTCCAAGTGTTTGATCCAAATCATTTTTGTACTCAGCAACCAATTTTGCTGCAATGCTTCAGTTTCGTCACAATTCATTGACTCCAGTTTAGACAAGAACCCGAAAAGTGAACAGGTTTCCTCATAGGCCTTTAACCGTTGATCCAGTGAACTCAGGAACTGATCAATTGCTGGAAGGAAATTCTGAACCCGAAATTTTTCTGACTGTGAGAGGGCTGCTTCTTCTGATCGTCCATAATCCAATGGATTGAGTCGTACATTACGTTGACGCTTGCGTGCCTGTGAATAATCCCCATAAACATGGAAGCAATCTCTTTTTTCTCGTACAAAATATTCCAAGGACTTCAGCATTGCTACTGCTGTGTTCAAATCGAGTTTAGGATCTTGCAATGCATGGCTTGTTGCATCAACTCTGCCAAGAATGTCATGCCAAAACACAGCATAAATAGCAGTCTCTAACTTGCACATCTTATCATGGAGACCATTGGCTTCATAACATGTTTTGCTCGTCTCATTTTCATCTCTTAATATTTTAGCAAGTGCTTCACGGATTGGGAGATAACCTTGGACAACTGCTTTCACTGCAACTGCTCGACAGGACCATCTTGTTGTGGAAATCCTCTTTGGCACAGATACCGGGCCAGACGCTACAGTTTCAATAAATCACTAATAATTGCATAACGATGTGTAGAAGCTGTGAAGAACACATAAATTGCCTCAAGAAAATAAAAAAATGAGATTGCTTCTTGACAACATTCAGCTGCAGCTTTTCCAGCCAAGTTTAATGAATGACCAGCACAGGGTATCCAAATTGCATGATGATTTTCAGCTACAACTTTGGCTTGCAGACCATTGTACCTCCCACTCATAGATGTTGCATTATCATAAGATTGCCCACGACAATTTTGAATGTCAATGTCATTGTCTGCAAGAAACTTCATCAAACGTTCAAACATTTCTTGAGCCTTGTGTCCTTGATTTGGCAAGAATTTCACAAATCTCTCAACAGGTGTGTCATGTTCCATGTATCTGATTATCAGAGTTAGTTCATCAATATGGCCTTCATCAGGGGGGGAATCTAGAGAAATTGAGTAATATTTTGAGAGCTTTATACGTGACATAATTTCGTTCAGTACTTCATTGACCATTAGTCTGACAATTTCTTCACAGATGGTTGAAGACAAATAGTTTGTATGACCAGTGCCACGATTAGCATGACTCTGGATGTGTTGCCTGAGGAAATCATCATACTCGGCCAAAAGCTCTAGTAATCCCAAGTAATTTCCATTATGAGGAGATCCAATTATTTCATCATCTCCACGAAGAGCTAGCCCTCTTTCACATATAAATTTAAGTACGCTGATCAATCACTTTAGAAGACTACACCAATACTGCTCAATTTGACGCACATGCGTAGTTAGTTTAGAATCTATACCTCCAGCTCCCTTTGCACGACTTGCTGCTGACAAAACTGCTTGAATGTGGTCCTTTGATTGCTCATGGACAACAAGCCTATTAGCATGCTTCCAGTCGCAGAACCCATCAGATGTGAATTGAGATGTTGTAACACCCATTAGCTTGCAAAAGAAGCAGTAGACCCGCCCATTTGCGGTGTGCATTTGCGACTGACATTGTTTGCATCTTTTTGTACTGCTGTTTTTGCATCCAAAAATTTAGCATCACTGTGGTGGAGACTCTCAGAACTATTCGCAGCCCAATAATCAATAAATTGTTTTGTCAAATGTTCTGACCATAAGCTAATGTCAATGTCATAATTTTGTGTAGTTGCCATTTGCACTTCAGGAGGCACATGCTTTGATTCAATTTCAATCTCCTCGGCAGTCTGGTCATTTGCCCCTGTAGACAGGCTAGAGCTGCCATATAAAGAGGAAGATGATGCATCACATGCAGGTACTTGTTCTGGTTGCCTTGAAGATGAACTTGCAGAAGCACTGACTAGATGTTCTGAAGCTGATGGACGAGTGAAGAATTCAGTCAATCGACGTGTTTTTGTAAATTCTTTAGCTTCTCTCTCAGCACGTTCTTTAGATGTCTTTCTCTTTGCAGCACCACTTTCGTAACGTCGTACATCTTTGTGTCTGTCCATTCCACTCATTTCTGCAACAATAATTTTCTGTCAACAAAGACGGACACCTAATTTTTCGTTATAATTAAAAACGTAACACAAATTGGCCGTTTGCTTTTTGCTACTTTATGGAGAGGTTAATTGATTACTTAACTCCCTGGAACTTTTGGACACCAGCATATTTTTAAAATTTGGAATTTTGGGTAAGATTATGACCTCTCCCTCTGACTTCTCCCAGTCCCACCCCTAAAGCTCGCCGCCGGTTCACCTTTGACTATACTGTGTTATACTGTATATACTGATCGTGGAACTGATAGAAACCGTCATTGACATAGTTAATGTACTCAAAATACATAAAAATAACTCAACTTACTTGCAGCCAATCGACCTGTAGTATCTTAAAGCAGGATCATGTATGTGAACGTATATTCTAAGAGCACACCCACCCACACTCAAGCACAAGCATCAATCCACTCTCTCTCACTCGCACTCTCACTGTACATTTGTAAGACATGTTCTAGGAAATGACAACTGACACGATCATTCATCACTGAACGGCGACGACTTCACGCAACAAGCACACATGACAATTCTCACTCCTTTTACATCTGCAAGACATGTTTATGTCTACTCGTGAGAAGTTCACGAATCATGGGCGACGCAAGTCTCCTCTTTAATCGACAGACACATGACAACCGATGTGCAGATACTACACGACCCAACCCCAGTGCCGGATTTAGACCTGTGGAGGCCCATGGGCAGCCTCTTTGTGGAAGCCCCCCTCATTATAACTACCCAAGAGGGTGGGGTGGCGAGTGAAGCGAGCCTAAACATCTGGGAGTCCCGGGGGACGCTGTAAGCCCCCCGGGAAAATTTTGAAATTTGAACAATTGGCATTCGTAATGGAAGTGATAATGAAAAAAATATTTTATTTGTTTTTGTTAATCTCAATTTCGTTATTCCATGTAGTTCATTTTTAATCAATATATGTTTGTGGAATTCTAAATATATTATCAGCAACACAAACAATAGCATTCATTAAAAATATACGGTTCATAGGAAAACCAGGTATTCATGAATTTCAAGGAGTAGCTAGCCTAATTTCTATCACGCTTCTTGCTGAACATAGTTTTACGTGATGGAATGGATAAACATGAATTTTAAAGAATGAAAATAAAAATAATCCAAATGAATAACAAATAAATAAAATATTGTAATATGTGGAGGCCCCCAGATTGTGGAGGCCCCTGGGCAGCTGCCCACTTTGCCCACTCCTGAATCCGGCCCTGCTGTACATACAGTAATATTATATGATTACAAAATATTATAAATTATATAGAACCAATATAATTTGCACCCATTGCAGAAAAATTAACTAATTATTACAAATGATTTACAGCTTTCATATTTCCTTCACAGAAAACCGCTCCTACAGTGGTGACTGATACAAAATTAATATACAACATACATCTTAGGTGGGAATTCCAGTTTGGAATAAAAATATAGGTTAACAAAATATCGTATTTTTTTTACGGTAAGATACAACCATAACATAAATCCATTTTCCAAAATAAAAACCCTTCAACAAGCTTGCGTCTCTTTCTTCGCTAATACCTCACAAACAACCACAACACTTACATTTTGGCTTTATGAACTTGAAATAATAGAAGAACTAAGCATGCCAGATGAAATCTCACTCTCCCATTAGGTAGTAGGTAGTAGGCAGCTATCAAACAGGGAGGTACTACTGCCTGGGAAGATATTGGAAGCATAATGTGTTGTCTAATGGTAGACCCTGCTGCTATAGGGCATCACGAAAATTGTGACCAAGTCTCAGGTTGCTGATCTGACTTTCTGCCTCAATTACACACAATTGCAGGGTCTCAATTGTTTCACTTACTATTAACAACACAACATACATATATTGTTTCTCACTTTTGATCTTTTTTTCATTTTTGTATTTCTTTATGGTTCTTTATTATTATTATTATTATTATTATTATTATTATTATTATTATTATTATTATTATTATTATTATTATTATTATTATTATTAGTATTAGTATTACATTTTCGCCCCCCAGACCCTGATGTGGGTCAGTGACCTGTGCCCGGGTGGGCTAATGCCCATATAAAACATGTAAAACAGCTACTATATAGCCCAGTAATGTTTCAAAAGATATATGCCTTTTATAAATCCTGTCTGAGTTGAATACAAAGCATTTCAGTTGTACGAAGCTTCTATACATGACATGAAATATATAATTTAGGATTTCTCGGGATGGACTACTGTATATGAAGATTTGGATAAATTAGTAATCAATGAATCAACATCAGACCTTTATACTTAAGTTAAAAGTAAAATTAATTTTAATAGTATATACCTGTTGTATGTATGCTGCCCTCGGAGCTGAGGGTGTGTTCTGGGTCGTCCACTGCCAGCTGCAGTGTCACCTTTTGTCAAGCCTGTTGCTTCTTGCTCATCTCTATAAAGTCGTAAATTTTATCATAGAGGAAATGTTTTCTTTCCTCCACCAGTGTTGCTAAGAAGGACCGCTCCTTCTGAGTTATTTAATTTGCTTTCTGAACTGCCATTTCGCCTGTCACTGCATGTGCTCACACGTGCCTCGAAATGCAAACACAAGGCTCCGGCATACCAACTGTTACTGTAGCAGTGAGGCAGGGCTACCAACCACACCCCTCCCCTACCCAAATGTATTTTACATAAGACCGATAAGAATTGTCGGTATACCTACACCTTCGATGGTGCTAACATGGTTAATTCCTTAATTAACCTAACTTACCTCTCAAACCCTTCTACTGCCGGATCTGGAATGACGTGTTAATCAAGTGTACAGGATTAGCATCCCATGCTTATACCAAGGTCTCACTAACAATTAAAGAGAGTTTTACTAACAGTGTCGCTATAACTTTACCAGAAACTTGTAGAGTGAAAGGTGGCTGTCCACGAAGCGTCTACTAACATTGTGAAACACTGTTGTAATTTAACTTGAAAATTTTTTATTACTCCTGAGTGACCATAATTTATTTTATTTTTATTTATTTATTTTTGTAATAGATGAAAACTAAAAAGCCAGAGCGTATCGACGTAGTGAATCTTAAACACAGTGTAGCCCCTGTATGTCTCCTTACAGTCTTATACTCTTGTACATTTCTGTTCACTAGAATCATTTCTCACTCAGTTCTCAGCTCCCGCCATTATCACATTTATCAAATTTCTACAAAAACAAAATAAGATGTTATTCGTAAGATTGTTCTATTTCTTTATCGTGCTGTCAACCTGATCGTACAGTACATAAATATTAAGAATACAATGTCGCCAGATTAAGTGTTCATCCTTAGAGATAACATTACAGAATCTGCAGACTTATCAACATGCATAATACGTTTGGGACTGTTTAACTTATGAAATCTCTCATTTTTTATCATCAAATTCAATAACTTCTTTGTTTGTTCAAATGATAAGTATCGATGAATAGAAAATATCACAACTGATTTTTTTTTCTTGGTAAATAAAATACAATACATAAATTTGTCTATAGTTGTTAAATTATTCAATTATTTATACTTTAAATGATTTCTCAGAACAAAAAGAATCGAGACACTAATTAACACGTTTTGAAAATAAGAAAAATAAAACGAAAAATCCAGTTATGCGCATCCTGTTTGTTAAATATTCCGAGATTTTCCTCATAGTCTCTTTCCTCTCCTGGGCTTGAAAACTCACGTTCTCTATTGTTAAATCCATTTAATTCATTATATTGTTTAACTGTTAAACTTTCTGGTCTAAATTCACTGTTTCTTCCAGTCTTCATTATTTTTTCATCTCTGGCTGTTGTTAAGCATTTTCATAAAACTTGATTTTCCTCGTTGCCATTATTTCCAAGTTTACCTCAAAACAGTCGGCTAGATTTTTGCCTCACATTAATTTTGGTTTAGTTATTTCTCATTTACACTATCTAACTACTCTTCGTGTTTCTTTTATATTTTCTTCTCTCCGTATGCCTCTAAGAGCTAGTTTGACTTATTACAATACTAACATCTTTCACTGTTACATTACCTGGTTCTGTTGTCTCCCTGCCAGTCCCTGCATCGTAACCAAACAAGCCAACAACACCAAGCGGGAAATAAAAAGGGTAAATAGCTACGAGGAAAAGTGGAAAATGCAAACTGGCCTCTCCAAATTCTCAGCGATACCCTTGTGCAGAACAAAATGACAATCATTAGTTATCAGTAATGCCCAGATAGAATACAGAAACAGACACATCACAGGATACTCCCATCATGTCCACACCAGGAAGGAAAAGACAAAAAGAAAGTTGAAAAATTATACCGCTTTAACGCACTTCCTAAAAAAAAAAAACTGCTGTACTTTAATCGCCATGAAACTATTAGGTAGGAATAATAGCCCGATGACGTGGACGCAATGACTTATTGGTCAAAACCTGTGAACATAAAAGCACAGTT